ACAATGATTATATGGTTCATAAAATATAACTTTGACCTCGGTAAGTTATCATATAATGATATTAAAAGACTAAACTCAATATTGTGAAGGTTCTTAATATTAACAAGTGCAAACCAATGACATAAGTTTCTTAAACCAAACCAAGTATGTTCAACTAAAAACACATAAGGGTTTTTATCTTATGTTTATTCGATTTAAGTACACATGCATTAACCAGTTTCTCAACTAGCTCAAATGGGAACTATAAAGGGAATCAACTATACCAACCAGCTAACAAATATCTTTTGATACCCGAAGTCACATTCATGACACTAGTGAGTATGATTACTTACAAGTTAATTCACTTGCTACTAGTTATTGATTACTCATTCATATACATAATGATTACTCACTAGTTGTCATAAATGTGACTTCGGGTATCAAAAGATATTTGTTAGCTGAGTGAGTATGAGTGAGTTAATCAATATCTAGTAACATTGAAATAAAGACTCTTAATTGCATTATGTGAATATAAGTAATGATTACTCATTTGTGACAACTAGTGAGTAGACATGATTATGAGTGGATCAATCATAACTGTAAGGATTAGTCTTTTGGTTCAAATAATCATTATCATTATCATGCCCTATTATATACTTTTCTTAGATTATACTAAAGGTAGTGCAAATAAAAGAAGAGTCATCAGGACAAAAGATCAAACACATAAATCATTTTTTCATTTTCAAGAGACAATTTGCAACCAAATATAATCTCATTACTTATATTCACATCATGCAAGTAAGAGTCTTTATTTCAATGTACATTGGTTATAATGATTTTATAAGTGGTGAGACATTGGATGGATAACTATAAAGCATTGAACCATTTTGCTTTGGGTTGGAAGCTTGGGTTGCAATGCTTAATCAGAAAGCTTGGGTTGCAATGCTTAATTCTTTTCTAAATAACCTTATTCTTTCTCCTTAAGTAACTTAGTGTTGGATTAATCTTGAGTATCTATGCTATAAATGAAGTTGGTTGTGTTGAGTGTTATAAATCTCTAACTCAAATAACAAGATGCAACATAAATCACTTGATTGATGATTAAGTTATTGTGCTTTTTATATCATATCCTTGTAATTTGTAAACACTATATTTATGAAGTTGTTTAGTTAAATGATGATCAATATCAAAGTGGTTTATAGTAAGTTAGTCTACTTACAAGTAGTGGCACTGTAGTAACTTTGACTATTCTTGAAAGCGATATATTAGGCTAGTTGGTATTGGTACTTTGTTTCCTTGAGAGTTCATTAATTGAATTTTAAAACAATTTATAGCATTTATTTATTATAGCTTGTTAGTTATCTATTAACACTTAGATGGATTGGTCTTGAATACTAAGTAAAGTATTTTTAACTTTAGTTAGCTTGGTTGCTAAAAGAAATTTAAGTGATGATTTCCTTTTGTTTTTTTTTTAGCTTTGTTTTGGTGCTAATGATATTGAGATGCTTTGACATTAATATTGTTTAAGTTGAGATTAAAGTGAAATATGATATCCTTCATGAGTATATTGAGGAAGTTGGACTTCCATTTATGATGATTGGTCAGGCTCATTAAAAATTTGATATTTTTATTTTGCTAATCTGAATAACATAATTTGGCTATACCTTTATGTTATTAGCATTCACATATTTACTAATTAACAACTATATTGGAGTTCAATGAGCTAAGTGGCAAGTTGAGTTAATTTTTTTCTTAATAAGATTTTTTAGTAGAGGTTTAGCTTTGTTTTATATAATAGTTTATGTTAGTTTTGTAAAAGAAAAAGTTGTGATTAATATTGAGATTATTAGTTTCTTGTTAGATTTGAGTTGAGATTATATTAATTATTGATGATTTTTATTATGTTTGTTAATAAGTGCATCATTTTATTCATCTTATGCCTTTAATATGCTTGTCTTCTTTATACATTTAATAGGAAAGACCACATCATCTTGTTCATTTGATGCTCTAATATATCTTATTTCTAACATATAAAAGAAATATATAAATTGTGGATATGTTTGAAAATTATATTAGAAGTTCTTAAATTCTAAATTCTTCAAAAGATATCAAGTATTGAAATCATGTCAATCAAAAAGATGAAATTAGTTATTCATTATGAATTAATTTTTTGTAATATATTATTTGATTCTCATCAGAAAGGCTTCAATGTTTGGAAGTATTGTATAGCCAAAAAATCTTAACAGTCCACAAACTAATAAGATCCAAATTTTGTATCTCCTATGGGAGGAAATCCTATTGTCATTGCCAATAAGATCTAAATATTCCATCTCTCTAATGGATTGCCATTATCAATGAGATCTAAACTTTCTATCTCCTAAATGGGAGGAAATGCCATTATCATTATTAATAAGATCCAAATTTTAAATCTCCCAAATTAGAGAAAACTTTATCACCAATGAGATTCAAAAACTTTCATCTCCTAAATGGAAGGAGCATCCTTGAAATGCCATTAGGGGTTATGATTATATACCAAAAATTTCAAATTCATTAAATATTTTTTTATATAGAAGATCAACTTCTTCAAAAGATAAATTCATCAACTTTCTAGCTTATAAGCATACCAAGACATACCAAGGACCAATATAATACTAGATAGAAATCAAAGTCAAAAAGTATAATCTATAAACAAAATTAAAAAGCACAAAGATCTGAAAAAGGACATATCTAGAAAAAAGAGAGATAATTTAGTTATCAGAGTGTCTTATTATACATTATACAGTGACAATATTAACTATATTAATGTCAATATGGGATGATAGTGGAACAAGCATGAACAAATAAGAGGAAGCTGTCGAATGTTGACTAGAATCAGTTCACTAGTTATATATGCATGTTTGTTTAGCATGGTAGAGTGTTGACATAAAGCTATGTTAAGCTTGTTCCATAATCTTTTATCCTGTAGAAGTGTGGCTGGACATGTTACCTGGCACCATCTCACGAAAACATCGTCACAAACCATCATATAAGGAAGTTATGTGTTTAAGCGAGGCCACCTCTTCTTATCTGTGTCAACATGATAAGAGCACCACACAAGCATTTCACTATCAGTATTCTGCGAGAAAGTATGAATCCTTAGGCTAAATGTACCACTTAGATTTCCGTTATGCAACTCTGTAATGGATATTAAAAACATTTTTAGGCAATTTACCCTCCTCTGCCAATCATGAAATAAGAAAATATAAGTGATATTTGATGCAATTAAAGTCTTGGATTATCTTTATTAGTGCAATTATATGATTAGATGATATATAAACTAACATAATTTGGGAGCAAATAACTTCATATAGGAAAGATCAACGCAAAACACTCAAATGAAACGTGAAGCTTTCAAAGCTTGATGATTACCACGGTCATGTTGTCTCTGGAGCAAGCTTCCTTGTCAAGGCAATGCTGGATGAGCTGAGAACATACATCCGATATCCTACCCTTGCAACACTGCACCCTCTCTCCAACAAAGTCGATCACTCCTTGGCTAGACATCGCACTCCAAATCCCATCGCTAGCCACCACCAGGAACTCGTCCCCGTGCTCGATGTCCACCTCCGTCACCTCTGGCTCGCAAATCACCTTTGGGCATTTCTTATAGTCTTCGTTCTTGTCAGGCTTGTCAAGCTTTGCGCTGGGCTGATTCATTCCGGGGCTTGGATTGTGATCAAATCCGAGTGACAGTCTCGTTCTTGCCTCGCATTCTGGATCAATCTCCATCATAAATTCCTTGTCAAGGCGCCTCTCATAAGATTGCTCGTCGCCTCCACATAGACGATCATTCCAACAATTGAAATTACCATGACGATTCCTGAAATGAAGCCCTGGACGAGTGGTGCTAAACCCTATTTCGTCTCTCTCGAGCATACTTCGTCGATTGAACAGAGTTCTCGGATTCGTTGCAGCCATCTTCCTTTTCTCACCACCCTTGGACTTGAAGATCAAGCATCCGATCGCTCGCGACACTTTGAGGTTAGCCTCGCGATTACACTGGTAAAGGCGTCCATTCTCTACGCATCCATGGCACGCTTCAATCCTCTTGCGCTCCATCTCCAACTCCGGCGAGTGATCCCGCGAGAGATCCACCGCCACCTTGTCTCGTGACAGCACGCATCGACAATTCCCAGCGTTTGCCACGACGATCCTCTCCTTGTAAACAAGCGCCACGATGGCCGTGCTTCCCACCATCCTCAGCCAGTTCTTGTTGCTCAAACTCAGATCAGTTGATTTCATAACCCCGTTCTCCATGATCTTGTCCATGGCGTGAAAGGAATCCCACAGACTCTGATGTGTTATCGACGAAGTCGATCCCGCCTTTTGGGCGCTGGCGATCCCAAAGATCCTCCTCGCTCTGTTCATCCTAGTCTCGAGATCCTTGTGCAGATTGTCAGCACAGAGCTTGGATGTTAGAGAACCTTTATGGCCGTCATAAACTCCCACGAACAACACTTTATCCTCCTCCTCCTTGCAGTGCCCATGCTCAACCAAGACTTTCTCAAGCCCCATCCTGTACACCGTGAACGCATCGTTCATGGATTTCTTCCATCCTTGTATCGCACAAGCACCGAATCCAAAGCCATCGGCTCGAGATTCGTCCCTGCCTGGCAAGCAGCCTTCCATGGACCATTCAAAAAAATCCGTCACCCAAATTTAACCCTGTCTCGAAGATGTATTTTGACTTTTTATTTGTACCAACGAATCTTCTATATGATCGATCGCTACTCCACGCAAGGCCAAAAGCGCCGGGCATTGACGCCGCGCATCAGGTGATGACGAAGAACTGTTCACCAACGAGCAGCCATTATTTTTTGCATGCCACACGCTAATATTACGTAGTCAATAGTCAAGGCTGACCTTTTCAACAAAGAAGAACTCGCCTCTCTCTCTCTCACAGTTCGTATAAAACCAAAACTCCGCACATTCATAGCTTCCATTATCGAGCAAGATCAGTTGGAATCCAATCCATGTACTATATGGCGTTTCCAAAGAGAGCAGCAGTGTGGACACTAGTAGCAGTATTGCTGTCTTTGATCAGCTCCAGGGATGTTTTGGCATCGCACAGCTATGAAAGAACTTGCCCAAATGCGGAGTGGATCATCCGAGACACGATCAACGAGCATGCTAGCCGGGACCCAACAATCCCCGCGGGACTGATTCGCTTGCACTTCCACGACTGCTTCGTCAACGTAAGCTAGCTATGAATTCACCAGTTTTCTCACCTTGCCTGATCACACCAGGGTTGCGATGGCTCCATCCTTCTTGATTCCACTCCAACAGACGGTACCAATGTCGAGAGATTCGCTCCTCCAAACCGGGACTCCGTCCGAGGATTTGAAATTATCGAGGATGCGAAAAGAAGGCTGGAACAGGCTTGTCCTGGTATAGTTTCTTGTGCCGACACTGTGGCCATCGCCGCAAGAGATTCAACTGTCAGGGTGAGTTCCTAATTGATAGTGGATTTTTCGCTCCACCATAGCCATCTTTTCTTCTTCTCCTCCTTCTTCTTCGTCTTCTCTCATATTTGGGTCTTCGATTCGTATAGATGGGAGGCCAGCACTACAAAGTAGCCACTGGACGCTATGATGGACGGGTGTCGAGCTTGCAACTCGCCACAAAGTTTCTACCATCGCCATCCATGGACGCCTCGACTCTCATAAAAAATTTCAAGAACCAAGGCTTGTCCGTTGAAGACCTTGTCGTTCTGTCAGGTGAGATCATTCGACTTTGCTAGTTGGATTTGGAATCGATCGACTTTAATTTGTCAGGAGCTCACACACTGGGAACCTCCAAATGCAACTTCTTCGCGAGCGGTCGCTTCGACCGCCTGTACAACTTCAGGAACACGAGCAGAGCCGACAAGACAGTAAACCCTGCGTACTTGCAGCACCTCCGCAGCAGATGCCCGCGCGATGGGTCCGCAAACACGGTGGAGCTTGACAGGGGTTCGCAGTTCAGCTTTGACAACTCCTACTTCAAGAATTTGGAACGGAGGAACGGACTTCTCACCTCTGACCAGGTGCTGTTCGAGAGCGAACGCACGAGTGGACTTGTTCGATCCTACGCCTACAATTCCAGGCAGTTTGCGTCTCATTTTGGGCAATCTATGGTAAGAATGGGAAGCATCGGGTGGAAGACGAAAGAGAATGGGGAGATCAGAAGGGTGTGTAATGCCGTGAATGTAAATAAACACGACACTTTGTAAAAGCTAAAGTGAATATATACCTAGTATATACCCACATGCCCATCTAACTAACGTAGGTCTGGGTGGTGTAGTTGGTCATCACGCTAGTCTCACACACTAGAGGTCCCCGGTTCGAACCCGGGCTCAGACATTAACAGTATCTCACAGCACATTAATTTTTAAACTTAATTTAGATCCACTAAATTGAATAAGTTATAACGACTTGAAAAAAGTTCTTTCTGTAAATATAAAGATTATTCTTACCATCAATTTTAATTAGTTTAGAGCTCATCGTGACTTGGTACTATTGCCCCTGCTCGCAAGGCATCCAGCTGAGCTTGTAATTCCTGGAGTACCAACGGTGATCTCTTCTCTTTGTTTTAAAATTTGGATTTCATACCTTCGCTCTCTCCTCGTAGCAAACAGCCGGTGTCCAGAAACTAGCAGCATACCTGCAAAGAAGAAAGTACGTACGAAAATTAGTGCGAGAGGAAGATGTTGCATACTCGCAGCGGCTTGGTTCTTCAATATCCGAGAGTTCTGACTTGAGCCCGCATCGCAACCTCACCTGGAAAGTAATCAACGAGCTAAACGAAACAAAGTAAAATAAGCATAAACTACTTACTTTTAAGCTTCGTTGCGGCCCATTCCAACAGTGATCTCCATTCTGGAACTTAATAGATTTGTAATCGTCCAGGAATCCCTCCCAGGACCTGTGTACAAAACTTGAATGTAAGAGAGAGTAAGCATGCAGAATCTTACGCACCCCAGCCGTGTTGATGAATGGCCTTCTTCCTGCGTTGAGTCCTTGTAAAGGCAGACCTTATACACGTACCTGGTGCAAGATTTAAGCCAAGAAAAAGAAAAGAAAAGAAAAAAAGAGCGTACTTTTGTTGCCTCCTTTCGAAGCATTGATCGTAAAGAGAAAAGAATTCTCCTTCTTTCCCTGAAAGTAGAAGGGGTTAGTAAGTTCGAACAAGGAAGAAGCGGATTTTAGCCACCAAAATCTTGCTTGAGCTTCTTCTGGAGTTCGGAAATCTTCGACTGCAGGTCGTTCAGCTTGTTATTTGCTTGCCGGTACTCACTACGAATACGATCAGCCTCTGCAACGACACAAAACGTTTTACTGCAACCAGTGAAAACAGGCTAAAATGCGAACCTGAAGCATCAACATGCATTCTCTTCAGACCCAATAGAGTCAATAAGGCCCGAGGAGCTTGGCGTAGCTTCTGCCACCATGAAGTATCGGCTTTCTCGGATGAATCTGGACACAAGTGTCACTAAGAAATATTTAAAAGCTTTCATACCTGTGTAGTTATGGCTGTCGTATCCAAAATTGTCATAGTTATCGTCTTCGTCGTCGTCGTCGTGCCCGGAGTACACATCTTTGTCATCGTTGCCATCGTATTCTTCTTCAACTTTATCTTCACCTTTATCTTCCCTTTCGGACGAAGACCCACCGGTCCATCGAGAAGCAACACGCTTTCCCAGCTCTTCTTTCGACAGGCCGTCAGTGTCCTCTGATTCAGAGTCGTCGGCAGGCTCAAGCCCAGATTCCGTGTCGACTTCGACTTCGGTTGGAAGCTGAGGTTTACTTTCTAATTGCTCTGCTTCCGTTGAGACTCCAGGTGGTTCCAGTTCTGAATGTTCCGGTTCCGTTTCGACCTCACTTGCAGCCGGAGGCTCAGGTTTGTGTTCTGTTTCTCCTTCCTGACACTGCGATATGGAAACAAGAATTTTGAAAAGAGAGGCTAAATACCTTTACTTGCTGAGATAATTCATTGTCAGCCTGTAAGCAACGAAGAAATCAACCTTTGGGCTCGACAATACAGTAAATTACCTCGTGACTGTCTACATTTGTCACCCCTTCTTGAACCTGCCAAACAGAAGATCAAGTCAGCGAGGAGAAAACTAGTTTTCTTTACCTCTTCGGGTACAATCTCTTCAGCTGCTGTTGTAGTGTCGTTCTTATTAGCTTCCTCTTTGGCTTTTCTCTCCTGCTCCTCTTTAGCTTTCTTCTCTCTTTCCAGTCTCTCTGCCTCCTCTACAGCTTCCAGTTCGACTGCGTGAATCTTGATTAGCACCATACTTGATAAATCTGACTCGATAATGCAATCTATCAGACATTAATTTCACCGGGGCAACCTCCTTTTTTTCATGGAATTTTTCCTACACAGGCGATCGAAGCCCAGCCACCATAATAGTCCAGCCATCACAAAAATCTCGAGCACCAGGAACGCTCTGAAGTCTGTCAATGACAAACAGCCATCACTATGGTGCTAGCATGCAACTAAAAAACTTGGAGTGCCGAGAAGTTGACGACATATAGAAACGGCGTGCAAAAAGAAAATCACAAGATGTACCTTTTAGTTTCTGCGTGATCTCCTTGAGGCTCTTTTCCTCTTTTTTCAAAGAAGAAAGCTCCCCTTCTTGCTGCTTCCTCGCGTGCTTATAGTGACGGATATCTTTGGCACGAATTTTCGCTCCTTCCTTGTAGACTGATACTTTCTTCTCCAGTTTCTCCCTGGATTTCTTCCCTGATTCCCAGCAAGTGTCCGAGCAAGTCGTCCTTCCATTGTATTCGTCACTCCCGTCGCAACAATCTGCCAAAGGAGCCATCACGGTCCATCAATCCATCGTAAAGCTTTTACCGCAAATGCCATCGTTCACACGGGACGAAAACAAAAAGTGTGGGGAGTGTCCAGCGTTTCTGCAGTAAAATCTGCCTTCCGGACAAGCCGAAGTCCCTGTTCACGATAGAAAAGAAATTCTCAATTCTCTGAGCGTTGGAAACAAATAGAAGAACAAAACTACTCGCCTGGCTCATCGGTTCCATCGGGACAATCGCAATAATCGTCATTAAGGCGAGATAATGCGAAGCTCTTGGATTTATCCTTGCACCATAGAGGCCCCCCACCCTGATAATATTTCAAATCTAGACAGACAAAGCCAAGCAATCACGCTCGATTCATCGCCCAGGAGCAAAACGCACCTTCAGGAGCAATGCCTCGCGCTTTCTCCGCAGGCAATGCATCGCCGGCGGCAAAAGAGCGCAGCAAAAACAGGGCGCAGATAGCGCAGATCAGGAAATCCCAGCGATAGAAACACGGATCCGCGGCGATGCGCATCCTTCCGCCCTGATCCTACATTCAGCGCGTCTCGCCCCGCAACAACCTAATCTAGAGAATCCTAGGGTTTAACAATCCTCGTGAGCGTACGGTTACTTTTGCTTTCAGTGGAATATTCACAGAATGTTTGTAGTACGGAGAACCTGAATATTCGGTCAAGTCAACCCGTTGACGACAATGCCACGTAAGCGGCATCGTGCCGGGGGTCAATGGCGATGGCGTTGACGGCCGCGTGCTTCGCTCGTCCGGCATCTCCCTGGATCTTGGAAGCTCCCAGCAGTGACATCCACACCACCGAATTGCTATCCAGCGGCATCTTGGCGATAAACTCCTCGGCTTCTCCAAGCCTCCCAGCTCGTCCCAGAAGATCGATCACGCAGCCGAAGTGTTCTTCGCAAATCTCCACTCTGTGATCCCAGACCATGCTGGAGAAGCACTGGATCCCCTCCCACAGCAGCCCCGAGTGGCTACACCCCGATAGAACGCTCAAGAACGTCGAGCTATTCGGCCTGGCTCCCTCGCTTTGCATCCGGTAGAAGTGCCTGAGAGCTTCATCGCCCCTACCGTGACGAGCAAGAGCTGTGACGAGAGTGTTCCACGAGGAGACATCGTCCCGGCTCTGGCACCGATCAAACATCCACTGCGAGTGATCCAGTCCCCCGGCCTTGCTATACATGTTGAGCAGCGCGGTCTCGAGCATGGAGTCGAGCGGCACGCCGCTCTCGAGAACGTAGCCGTGGATCGTCTTCCCTGTGGCCAGGCTCGTTCCGCTAGCGTTGAGGATTGTGACGAACGTAAGCTTGTCCGGTTTGATTCCTTCGTGTTGCATGCGTTGGAAGACGAGCATGCTGCTGTAATCGTCGTGGACGCAGGCGCTGATCATCGCGTTCCAGGTGACCAAGCTCCGCTGCTTCATCCTGTCAAACACTGCTCGCGAGTCATCCGCACTGCCAGCCTTTCCATAGAAGTTTACCAGCGCCGTCCCCAAGAACACGTCCTCCGTGAGACCGCTCTTGATCATCCTGGCGTGGATTTCTCTGCCGCGGGAGAGGAACTCTGGGCTGCAGCAGGCATTAAGAATCGTTAGAAAGCTCACCGAGTCAGGACTTACACCATCGGTCTGCATACCCTGGAAGAGCTCCAGTGCTTGCTTGCTATGACCAGCTTGGGCATACGCCGTGATCATCGCGTTCCAGAGAACCACGTCTTTCGGACTGCATCGCTCGAAGATCTTGGCTGCCTCGCAAACGCTTCCAATCCGGCTGTACATCTCGACCAGTGCAGTCGACACGAGAATGCTGCCGAGAAATCCAGCTTCGACGGCCAAGCTATGGAGAAGCTTGCCCTGTGCCGGGAGATTCGACGAGGCGGCGAGAGCTGCCAGAAAAGTAGCCTCGCTGGGCTTGATGCCTTCCACTTGCATCGCCCAGAAGACCCCGAATGCTTGCTCGAATCGCTTGTTGTGAGCCAGCGCTGCCACCATCGCGTTCCAAGTGATCATGTTTCTCTGCCGCATTGCCGAGAAGATTTCCAGCGCGCGATCTGGGCAGCCAAGCTTGCCATACATGTTGAGTAAGGCGGTGGCGACGATCACATCGCCCAGGTGGCCGCTCTCACAGACTCTGTCGTGGATCTGGATCCCTTCGCAAAGATCCGTGCAGGCGCTTAGCACCGCCACGAATGTGGTGCCGCTCGGAACAACAGGCTCGAGCAGCATCTCCCGCAAGAGCCCAATCGCCTCGCTGCAGTGCCCGTTCTTGGCAAACGCTGCTATCATCGCGTTCCAAGGGATGGCATTCGATCTGGGCATCTTCTCAAAGATCGATCTTGCCAGATCGATCTTCCCCGATCCTGCATACATGTTGATGAGCGCCGTTCCCACGAAAGGATTGGAAGAGATCAGCCCGAGCTCCACGACACGGTCGTGCAAATTCCTGCCCTCTCCAAGAAAGAAATCCCCGCCGCTAGAACAGGCATTGACCATCGTCACCAGCGTCACTTGATCGGGAGGAACGCCTTCTAGCTGCATCCTCCGGAAAAGATGAAAGGCCGCCGCATAATCTCCGCTGTGGGCGTGAGCCGACGCCATTTCCGTCCAGAGAACGGCATCCTTGACACGGATCTCCTCGAAGAGCGCCCGAGCTTCTGCCAGATTTCCACACCGGACATACATATTTACCATGAGATTCGCCACGGCAACATCGCCGCCGAGCCCGATCCGCTCGACGAGCGCACGGATCCTCCTGCATTGCCAAGAACCCGCCCTAAGATCGCCACACGCTCCAACGATCGCGATCGCCGCGCCGCGCCGCGCCGCCGGCGAGCTGCCGGGATCAAAATCCCCGCTATCGAGAGAATCCAACACGCGCTGGAGCTCTTGGATCGTCCAGATGGAAGGAAGAAGAGCGCCGAGAGAGGAAAATGCCCTTGTTCTAACAAAGCTCATGAATATTCCCTTTTCAAAAAGAAAAGCAAAAAGGCATTAAAAAAACTATTTGCTGGCTGTGGGGTTCGAACCCACGCGCATTGCAATGCAGGTGATCTTAAGTCACCCCCCTTAGACCACTCGGGCAAACCAGCTCATTACATTAGAATTATACAAGATAGAGATTTTATAGTAACAATTCAATGTAAATTACACTAGTGATAAGAAATCTGTCAATATCTAACGGTGGAGTGGCGCAGCCATAGCTCGTACATAACCATATGGAACGTATCATACTTGATCGGTGGAGAGTGCCACTCAAAGTGGGCTTGAGCCTGTGAAAACCATCGATCGATTATCAAATTCGAGAGAGCGCGAGGACGTACCTGGAGAAGATTTCTGTGCAGTGTTGCGTATGGAGCCAACTCAAGAGCATCTTTCAGCGTGCCGGCGTCTTGCTCGGGTAGAATCACAGCGAACTTTCTCCAGTCGAGCACGTCGTTGAAGGGAAGATCATAGTGATCCGAGAGAATCACTGCGGCAAAAGCACGATCATCCCCGATGAGATCTTAACTTGACAAAAGGACTTGCCTGGAACACAGCCGAAATGGATCGATTCGACTATCCTGGCAGTGCTCACGCGCGTTCCGCTCGGGCAAATGCAAAACTTGCTACGGTAGAACTGCTGCATCCCGACGTGTTTCGTGCTGATCACCATATCCGAGTCTTCCTGCCATGTTTTTGTCAGAAGGATCCTGGTTTTGGAGTTCGCAGGACCGGCCCAAAAGCCAAGAGTCTCTCTGGCACATAGCTCTTTCGTGAGAACTTCTACTGGAGAATCGAGAAGTGTAGTAGAGCCTACCTCTTTTCAGTGTCATCTCCACCTCTCGGCGAAGGAAATGGCTGTAAGATCTGTGGCAAGGCCACGTCTTTGTGAGGAATGAAAGGCCCGCTATAGCTCGAAGCGCAAACCACCCGGATGGAGTTCTTCACGAGATGAGCGACTTTGCTCGTCGCTCGCGTCCCAATCTCATGACAAGTCACGAAGAAATGGTCCGCTCCCATGGTCCGGTTCCAGTATGGGAATTTCGCAATCACGCTCTCCACGAAGCTCGCGACGTTGTCAGAAATTTCGTCGTGATCTAAGCCCTGGAAGGAAGAACACGGTCATTCAGTCACGCGAAGATCGAGAAAAACGCTTGAAATTTTCTTCTTACCTCCTCTCTCAATCGCGCACAGGAGATTGGGACAAAGAAGAGCTGCGCCTTCTCCGGATCTGTGGTGACAAAGCGGCTCTCCATGAGATTCCGGAAGAAATATCCCTCGCTCGCGTATTTCCCCGCGAGCTTGGTGTAGACAACCGGATCGGGATAGACGAAAACCTTGAGCTGCTGCTCCATCTGCTCGTAATCCTCCTGGAAAACATCCGCGACATGGAAGATTTCAGTGCCGAGCTCCGCAACGCCTGCATTGCTCGCCACTGCGATTGCAAATGCCAATGCGGCCAAGACGCGCGCCATGCCGGAAGATCTGTAGCTCATTCCAGATCGCTGGGACTAAAAAACCCTACCTACGTAGCTAGAGAGTCCAGTGGCGATGTAATGTGCTACCAAAGAGCTTTAACTTTCCCATTCTTTCCAAGAACCCTAATTTACAAGATCACTTCTACTCTACTGGGATTGCTCTTGGCTGTGGCTTGGGGGTCTTTGGAACTGTGATGCTAAGGACGCCATTGTCCACTTGGGCTTTGATCGCATCCACATTGGCGCTCTCGGGCAGCCGGAATTTCCTCAGGAAGCTCCCATAGCTGCGCTCCACGCGGTGCCACTTATCGCTCTTCTGTGCCTCGTGCTTCTTCCTCTCGCCACTGATCTGGAGGGTGCGTCCATCCTCCACGCTGATCTTCACCTCCTCCTTGCTCAGCCCCGGGAGATCGGCCTTGAAGACGTGCGCTTCGGGCGTCTCGAGCCAATCCACGCGAGTGTTGGCGACGGCGCTCGCGTCCCTGGCCATCTGCTTGGACTGATCATTGCCACAAGCCAAGATCGATGAGAGCTCCGCGAAGGGATCGAAGATGCTGCTGCCATTGCCACCATAGAAGTGCAAAGCCATTGTTGGAACTTAGAAGAAGAAGAGATTGGTAACTCTGAGAAACGTTGATCGATGCCTGGGACTCGAGACTGCTCCTTTTTTATACATGGACAAAACATTCGAGAATATTCTAGAACCAACATATTCCAGAAGATTCTAGATTTGAAATTTCCAACGGCTGGGATTAAGTTTCCGATCTCGAATCTTTCTCCATATGGACCAGGTTTTATCGCGACAACGCTGGAGTCGTTTTCCACTGCATTACCTTCGAAAGTTCCCGAATTATGCAAAAGAGCTCTTTCATTTATGGGCAGCAACATCAACGGCTTGCTCCTAGTCAAAACCTTAGAAGGCGATCTAATCGTCACCAATCCCCTCACTCACCACTGGACTCTACCTCCACCACTGGAGGAATCAGTCGCTTCCCAGACTCGAGCTTCCAGGTTATGGTTCCGTTGAGCTCCATGTCTCATTGTGATGCGGCAGCCTGGGAGAGTTGGGCAGTAGACATTGGAGCTGATCAGGTGTTGGCATCATTTTCCTGGCTTAGATTTGCAGCGATGAAAGTCATATTTTCCAAGATCAATTTTTGTAAGGTAGTCTGTAAACTTTGGTAATGACTTTCGTGCGATGGAATAACCTGCCACCAGAAACTCTCTACCTCAAGCTTGGCTACGCATATCCCCAGCCAGTTGTCTGTGGTGGACGAATCCTCCTCCCGTGCATGCAAACGCTGAGCAGTGGAGATGGAGGAGTGACGAAAACCCTGGGTTGGGACAGTGGCAACCCTTTGTGGCAATGCCTGGTTTCTTGGGAGATCGTTCCAAGGGAGTGGTTTATTACTGCTGGACTCCAAGCAGAGGTCCTTCTTAGATGACCATCTTGGACACCATACCCTTCATGTTCTCGTTGCTCAGGTTTTGTGTGCTTTTTCCATTTCTTCTTGTCATGATTCTTTTTTTTTTTTTTTGAGTTTGTTTGTTTATATCTGCAGGTGTCTCTATTGAGGTTGATGAAGTGAGCAATGTTGTTCGCTATCAAACGACGACCCATTTCCTCCAAAGAAGTTCGGTCTCCTGGATCTGCACCTCGAGATGAGCCAGCACCTTAGCAACTTCCTCGTTCATTTTGCTGCTCGTTCTCATGATTACATTTGTGTTTTACATATATGAAGAACACCTGAACTGAAACCTAACCTATATGTTAGTGGCGTGTGATGTTTTGCTCGAAATCAGTTTTGCTCCGCAGCCTTTTACGATGTTGATACAGAATTGGCCGCGCTATACTTTCTATCACTCACAATTTCCTTTCACTCTCCTTCAAGCACAGCTGCACAATAACCTGATCTTGAAAAACATACAAACTTGTTAGAAGTTCCTCTTCTCGGAATTTGGAAACCCAGTAGGGGTCTTTGCACGTACGTCCAGAAAATCAACATCTGTGGAGGTCCAAAGATGCCATGCTGATTAATGATTAAACTCAGCAGTGTGTGATTTCTCCTTGTCCGGAAAAGAGAGATTTGATTGACATGGACTTTTCCCAACATTGGGAGAACTTTGTTTGATTTGCCCAAGTCAAGTGATGAAATTTGCTTCAAATCCAATGGTCAATTATCTAATCTTAACAAAAGCTGAAATGGTGGTATATTTTAGAATATGCTTAGATATATAGCTTTCCACACTCATTTGTATTTATATAGCTTATCTTGTGTTTATAACTTATAAACATGTTTGTAATTATAAACTTTAGATCTAAATATAATGTAAAGTATGAAATACTATTAAGAAAACTAAGTATTGTTTCATGCAATCATAAACAGTTATTTAAACATCTTATTAAATACATATTTTTAAAATAAATAATGTTAAAACATTTCAGACTAAACAATACTCTTCTATCAATATTAATTGATTTATTAAGAGCCTTATTTTATAATATTATTATATTTATAACTTATTTTAGTATAAATAAACACTATTGCTCCAATCAGAATTAATTAAAAATTTAATGGATTATTTTGAATATAATATTGTGAGTGCTTGGAATATGGAAAGGGAATACAGAAATGTGCATATCAATTAGCCCAAAAGCCCTAGCTTATATACAGGAGCGAGTGGTCCAGATTGAAACTAATCCGACGACTACCAAAATCCCACTACGCTAATATTAGTATACGGCATCGTAACCGTACACTTGGCCCTCACATCATCCCCCCCTCTCAGGATAATGGACGACCATCAGGGTTCTCTTGTAGACGGGCCGGGATCTGGAGGAACATTAGGAGGAGGCATCGGCGGATTTGTAGATGGTATTAACTGCTCCTGATCCTTTTGTATGAAGCGTTTCAACCGTTGCACATGCACAATCTCTGGAGGATTGGCCTGCTGGACGTCATGCCGAACCTCATAAACTTGTGGTCCAACTTGCCGCAACACCCGATACGGTCCTTTCCACTGTGCAAGGAGCCCCTTAGATAAACCACGTACCGTAAGATGGGGAAAACGGACTAACACCAAATCATCCACTTTGTACTCTGCAGGTGGACGATGACGAGAGTTGTAGCGCTGTTGTTGTCCCACTTGTACGCGGCCTAAGTGTTCGGCAGACTCTGCTCGGACAAGTGGAAGAATGCTTGTCAAATATTGATCCCATGACCTAGCATCTGCAGCTCGTGGCAATCGCGAAGGTAAATTCAGCTTCGTTGGTAATATTGGATCATGACCATATAGGAGTTTATATGGTGAAGCACCAACAGAACTCTGCACCCCAGTGACATATGCATACCGAAGAGACGGCAAATAACCATCCCAATCCGAATGCTGAAAGTTCACGTACTTCGCAATCATCCTTTTGAACGTCCGAACGAGCCGTTCCACCAGACCGTCTAATTGTGGATGATAAGCACTCGTGAAAGTGTGGCGAATCCCCAACCGAGACGTCAAAACATGAAACGCCTCAGCTATAAAAGCGGGACCATTATCCGAAAGAATCCGCTTTGGACAAGAATGCTGGAATACCACTTGATTGAGGAGGAAGTATCCAACAGCAGTTGCAGAGGCACTAGCAAGAGCACCAACTTCCACCCAACGAGTCAAATAGTCAGAAGCAATAATAACATACTCATTGCCAGCAGTTGACCGTGGAAAAGTTCCCATAATATCAAACGCCACCAATTCAAACGGACGGGAAACTGCAATTGACTCCAACCATCCTTCCGCAGTCTGAGGGGGAGTATTATGAGCTTGGCACCAAACGCAGCTACGCACATACCAGATAATATCACATCTCATCTCCGGCCAATAGAAAGACCTGCGTAGCTTCTCGATTACACGACGATGTCCCATATGCCCACCTAGAACAGGAGAATCATGGTAGGCATGGAGAAACCGCGGAATAAAGATAGAAGGCACCACCAGCCGTAATTGATCATCAGGATCTATCCCCACAAAATAAAGAAGGCCACCTTCAAGACGATATTGAGAATGTAAATGCCGGAAAGGCAAGTCATCAGCAAGTGATGCAGGATTCTCAAACCCATCTCAAAGCCTTCGAATCCATGGCTTAATCTTTTGAGCCTCACGAACCTCATCAAGCGAAGGTAGATCTTGCTCTGCACCTTGTGGACACTGACCGTCAAGTATAGCAACCGCCGACGGCACAGAATCCTCGTCTAGAAAATCCACAGATGCGAAACATGATAAGAGAATGAAGAAGGAAGAGAAGCTCGAGAAAGGGCATTAGCATCAGCCATAGAACTCCCTGGGCGGTGAACAACATCAAAATTATATATCTGAAGCTTCAAAGCCCACCGAGTAGTACGACCAACTAGGTTCTTTCGCTTTAATAACAAAGTAACAGCAGCATGGTCACCTTCAAATAACGTCCGAGAACCATATAGATATGCATAAAGTTTCTCGAAACCCCAAACTGCTGCTAAACACTCCTTCTCTATCGTGGAGTAGTTCATCTCCGCTGGTTGTAATGTACGGCTTATATATGCAATGGGATGGTGTTGACTAGGCACATTCGAGCTCTCTTGCATTAACACACCTCTAAAACCAATGTTAGAAGCATCCACGCGCAAAATAAAAGGTCAAGTGTAGTCAGGATATGCCAAAATCGGAGGAGTTGTCAATAACTTTTTGAGATCCCCAAACGCCCGCTCACAATCCGAAGACCAGATGAAAGATGATGTTGATGACTTCAACAACACTCGCAATGGTGCAGTGCGATCAGAAAGATGATCCACAAAACGCCCGAGATACTGCACCTTGCCCAAGAAGCGCTGCACATCATTCACACACTTCGGAGTAGGGAACTTTAGAACAGCCACAAGTTTTTCAGGATCAACTTGCAAACCCTCACGAGAAATACGGTACCCAAGATAAGTTGTGTTCTTAGATCCAAATACGCACTTCGACTGCTTCAGCTTTAAACCAACGTCGCGTAGCCGATCCAACACTTTACAAACATCACGAACGTGCTCCTCCCATGTCCCCTCCGAGTGGATCAAGACATCATCAATGAAGTCAGTAGTCAACTCCGGCATATC